CCAGTTTTTTTAGAGTAAATGAATTGTCAATAAATAATGAGAAAAGCGTCTCAGGCGAGCTGCATTTTTTACTGGTGAAGACATTATTCTAGCTGCAATAAATGTCCGCAGAATAGAATAATCTTTTATTTGCAAGTCATGCATTATATGAGACACAATAAGGGGAATATTTTATATTCTTAAAAAAAAGTATGCCTCAGAAATTATGTAGCTTGTCTAAGCGTTTAGAGACGTATTTCTTGCAGGTATATTGATTACGGGTCATTAGCAATGGTCATTGGACATGAGATCACCCATGGATTTGACAGCCAAGGTAGAAAAAACAGTAACAATAACACTGGTAACAGTATCAAAACAAAAAGAGATAAATTACTTCAACGAAAGAGGAATCAAGCTTTACATATCAAATACTTGCATAGGTAGGAAGAGTCTTGTATGAACAAGATAGCACTGGATCGAAGGTGGAAATCACGACATAACCAAGTTGCTTAGTAAGTTTGGGTCAATGTCAGTATCTGAGCAGCTTCTCACCTACCCCTCCCCAACAACATTAAACTGATTGCAATTTAGGGTAATGCTGGATGGGGAAGGGGTAGGTACGCAGAGTCGCCCACACTGACATCGATGCGGAAGTTTGAGGACTGTTTTGATTGATTTCTTTGTTCCTCCACAGGGCGGCTTTATGATAAGAATGGCAACGTGAAAGATTGGTGGTCATTGTCTTCGACTTACAGTTTTGCAAGCAAAGCCGAATGTTTGGTGAATCAGTACAACAACTATGACGTGTTTGGGACATATGTAAGTCAGATTCAACAGAAATTCAGTTACAGTTAAAAATTTAGGAATCAATCAATCAAGTTATAAATATTACTGCGTGAGATCAGGTTTTCCTGTGAATTCGAGCCCGAAGCTTATGTTTAGGACTCATTACAGTTAGCAAAAGAAAAAAAAACATAAAATAAAAGAAAAAAAACGAAACTTAAAAAAATACTTGTTATAATATCAGTCTAAAACAATTTAACATATCTGAGATAAAAAGTAATTACATTTGCAGTTGACCTTAAAGTTTGAATTAAAAAATGTCCTCGACTTCTTGCGAAAGTCACTCAAGTTTGCTGATTGCTTAATATGTGACGGAAGGTGATTCCACAAATGCGATATCTAGTGAGTAAATGAGTTATTATAATACCTATAATGATAGATGGGTTGAACAAGATTATGACCACTAGTCCTTAAATTATAATGGATCTTACCGGCTCGAAAAGATTAGAGATGTAATCAGACACATTTTCCTTTATACATCTTAAGAATTAGATGAGAGATTGATCGTACCTTCTTTACTCTGATATTAGCAGCGTATAATATAGAATCATAATCTTAGCTGTTATCTAAGTTTATGAGGGCTTTTATCGTGTAGTAGTTAGCTGAGTCGAGTTTAAGGATCAAAGTCTTACAATCTCTGATGGAAGTGGACGGCAGTATTCAAAGTGTGACAGTAAATAAGCCGTGTACAGCATAAGTGCAACATCAGTCAGCACCAACTCTTTTAGACTTCTTAGAGCTCCAATTTTGGCATCAAGGTCGCGTGGCCGATATGTGGTCTTTGAACATAACACTTTATCTAAGTGTCCATGTCTCTAGCTTAAAAAGCTAATAGGGGACAACAAAATAATTCAATTGTAAAATGAGTTTATCACTCAAATCTAAAATTTATAAAAATTAAAATTTAAATGTTAAAAATTACGGAGTTATCCCCACTAAAATATACAGAAAATGCTAAAGATATTTCTTAAAATTCTCAAGAACTACAAATAAGACAGGAGCCTCAATTGTCACTTATAAGATATGCAAGATGAATATCCGGTATGTTGGACTTGAGGGATTGTAAGGAAGGTTTGTCCTTGATTTTGCTGTTCAATCTCGAACATATATATGGCCTAAAGTACCTTAAAGAATGTTTCTCGTAATATACACTATTAAATCTGGCTAAATAAAAATCCATATTTCAAATTGAATAATACATATTTTCAGGTTCTTGAAAAAGGGATTTACTCCAAATAAGACCTGACCTTGTTCTCTTTTATTTGCTTAGTTGATTGGTAGACTTCCCAGAAAGTTAGAGAAACCAACTTAGTGTGGTTACTGTAGTGCATTTACTCCTCACAGAAGCCGAAAGACTGTTAAAAAAGGGGAAAAACGCATTATGTAGGGGATAACCAAGCATTTAAACATTTTAGTTTCCTTTGTTAAAAATAAACGTAGTAGAAATGCTAAAATAGAAATGGAGATACTGTTATCATAAAGTCAAATGTTAAAATCGTTTTGTTTTAAATTTTTTTTTACAGATAGATGGTAAACAGACTTTGAATGAGAACATTGCTGACAATGGTGGAATAAAGCTTGCTTATGATGTACGCTTCACACAAACTGTTCGCTTGTTTGTTCTTTTTTTGTGTGTGTATCCTTGTTTTTTCTTTATGCCTGTACTGCGCTAGCCTCAAGTGCTTACGTTCCTAGGCCCGTCACGTTATCATTTCTCCTCCACGTAGGAACGAGTGATTGCCTGACGAACTTTAGAACGTCTGTACTGAAGGCTAGTGGTAAACATGCAGTATGCATCATCAGCGGACAATACAGTTCGTCATGTAAGTGATGTAAGAGAACGTAAGTTAAATTCCCATTGGCGGTAAACGTTTTTTCCAGTCAAGGGCTTACTTTCGCAGGGTCGCACTCCATTGGTACCATGTGGTTACTACCTACACGATTTTTTAAGATAACATAATCAGTTAGCTAGCTCATTAGTCGGGTTTATGTCTTAATTTTTTTTACAAACGTCAGTGATAACCTTCCCTCTCTCTCAACAGTTGTATTTTTTAGTTGTATTTAAAACAGTTTTTACTTTTTAGTGCATTGCGAAACTCAGACATCTTATTTCATTTTATTCCCAGGCATACGAGTCGTGGGTTAAAGACAATAAAAAAGAAGGACAACTGCCTGACTTGGGTTTGAGTGTGGATCAACTGTTTTTCATAGGATTTGCTACGGTAAATGGTTCTCGATTGTCTTGTTGTGAAACTTAAATAATCACAAGAGGCCAACGACAACTCAAAGGAAACACAACTAACCTCGGCTCTGGAATTTAAAGAATGAAACATTTTAACAGGCCACTTTTTCAAGAAAGGGCTGGGATATTCCTTGTTCGTTGTACTGTGTGCATATGAAAAGCTGCAAATCGTCATTTAGGTCGTCTCAGTTTCTTTACGAGCGAGCACTCTGTTTAACCCTCAACACGGGCTATAGTTTGGTTAGTGCGACGCGAAAAAAGTGGTGCAAGAGGAGACTGGGTCAAATAGAATGGTGTGGCTAATTTTCTTTTAATTCGTGCTTAACTCCCTTTCTTTTATCCTCTTAAGGACGAGATCTTAAGAAAATAAAAGATAGTTTACCTCTCGATCTTCATCGATGAATTACCCTCTCTATACTTTTCACTTTAGCCTTGGTGTAGTGTATACAAGAAAGAAGCAGCTCTTTTCCAAGTGGAGTCTGACGTACACTCGTTTCCAAAGTACAGGTAAATTGTAATCAGTTCTCCTATTTGTCAGGCCAATTCTGACGCGCCAGTCTTAGATAGCCGGGAAAAATAGATATAATCACCAATAAGTCTGTATGATATTTATGTAGTGGGTTAAGACATGAAAACACAGTTGTTATAGCCTTTTTTGTTTCTAAATAAATCATCAGCCTCGTTTGCCTCCTATTGCGATAAAAGATTTTCCTTAAACCGCGTGCGCCGAAATTTCTTCCCTAAATTTTGCCTCTTGTCCAATAGTCAGACAGCATTTTGGGATCAGAGTTTTCAAGAAAAACTGTTTCAAGGCGAAATTTGCGGGCTTAGATGACTTGACTAGGGGATGGTCCAAATATCTTCCAAACTATCAATTCATATGAAGCTCGTTCAAAAATTGTACTCTTGTCAACAGGGTAATTGGTCCACTATCCAACTTCAAAACGTTTGCAGACGCCTACAGCTGCAAAAAAGGAAAGGAAATGAACCCAGGACAGAAGTGCTCTGTGTGGTGATCGGGTGATAGAAGTTTAACCGGTTTCTTTTATGTTTGAAAGCCGTTCTTAGAGTAAGTAGAAAAATCTAAGCAAAATGGTGCTACTTTTGCTTTTGAAAAAAAACAGTAGTTTGTGCAGCTAATAACTTGTTCAATACTAACATCAAGAGAGTATGTAAAAAATTAGAGCAGAACATATTTGTTTTCTTAACACCAATAGTGTTTAGTGGAGCGAATGTGTTGTAGAAGAAATTTTAACGTGATGTAATCTTATCGATAGCTTCCATGTTGCCCTAAAAGAGGCGAATAAAATTAATTGTTAGTTAATAGACTGTATTACTGCGTCATCAGTTTAAAATTACTATCGAAAACTTAAAAAGGATACCTTCAAGACGGACACGATGATTACTCACATAATCAACGGTTTGTTGTCAGCCATTCCTTCAGTCATGAATCCTTCGTCACTATGATTACACCAATAACAAAGCGACCAGCTCCGCAAGCGTTTTAGCAAAAATTGATGGTCAGGGAAGCATCGTTCCAGGAAAAGCCTTTCGATATTAATTAGTGAACATAATAGTTCGTATTGTTGGTCTCCGATTTTCTCACATGACATAAAGCTTTGGAAAAAGAAATTTGAGCGAATATTGATAATTGGTACTACCTCATTAATGTAATGTGCAACCGTAAATCTCCAATGAATGAACAACAGACCACATTTTTCATCGTGATGTATCCATTATACAATATATCACATAAATATGTTGGCATCGTTATCATTCGACCAGATGCCTCAACACATCGCTGATCGTAATTGAGCTAAGCGAGTGATTTTCATGTACAGTTCCATTTGCTCAGGAAAACCCAGGAGCAAAAAGGTATAAAATGTAGCTACCTGATGTAACCAAGTAAGGGGCAAGTAAAATAGCTAAGCCTTCCTCTAACAACGTGATAGTGCATCTTTTATTTTTCCTTCTTATCATTTCAAAGATCTCCCTGGTCGCACTTAGCGTGTAAAATGTACCTCCTTGGGTAGGTTGTAAAACAAACATAACAATAGCAATAAGAATCAAGTGTGTAAGCCCTTCCCACTTAAACTCTTTGAAATCTCAAAATAGGTTTGAAACAGGTACGATAAAATACACCAATTGCATAAACCTGTACAAAACTTAGAGGATATTTTGAAATATTCTCGCAACAGTCAACCGAACAAATGAACCTTTTCTATCACTTTTGATAACAATCACATTAGTTCCATTGTTTCCCTTAAATTTACGGTGCAAGTTTATCTCCCTTGACTTTTTTGATGTATTTCTTTACAAGTCTGCAAACTCTTTCCCTGTCCACACTGCTACTTGATTCTTTAATCTGAAGAAGGAAAAAAAACCGCGTTTAAGCAAACAAAAGTTTTAGCCCTTAAAAAGCCCTTACGATCAGTAACAACTATTAAACTAAGTGGAGGTGGCTAGAGGTGAATATTACCGAGCCTCGAGTATCACGAAAAGATGATTTTAACTAATTTATTCCTACAACGACTACAAACATTTCGAGTGCAAATGCCGCGCGAGTTGTTCGGAGGTGAATAGCAAAGGATACTTAGAGGTGAATAGCAAAGGATACTTAGAGGTGAATAGCAAAGGATACTTAGAGGTGCACCAAAAAGAAGAATTAAAAAAAGGCCAAAAAATGAAGGAAGATGTAGCCGCCCAAAATTGTTCAAGTTTTCTTGACCCCGACTGTCGTAGCGTGTATGAAGTTTCACCTCTGTTTAGTGACTGCTTCTCAGGATAGTAACATGTTCTACTCTGAAAGAATTCTCTCAAACAAACCTTTTCCACACTCTTTCTCATGATAACTTTGTAGTCATCTTTTGTGATCTCTCCATGTCTAAAGAATGGCTTCAGTGCCAGTTTAACTTCATCGACTATTTGCTCATGCCGTTGGAGTCGTGCTATTCCCTGGAAAATAAAAGAGGTAAGGAAAATCTCACAAAACAAGCGGAAACTTTTAAGCAATTAACTTCGTAAGCGTTGCAGTGCACGTACCAACTGATTTTCATATCGCGAGATCGCACATCGATGAACTGTCCTTAGCAACAGCCAGTAAGAAAAGTGGGAAATTTAAACAAGGAGCCAATAAGATGTCTGGAGTAATGACACGTTTACTACCTCAAGCGCGGGAAAACGAAAGTAACCAGATCAGGATTGGCTTTAGCTTTAAATGTTATTAGTTTACCGAGTTGCGCGAGTTTTCTAGATCAATCGCAGATCGTTGTAAAACAAAACCAATGCAACCCGGAATACTTTAGACACTGAAATGAAAATTGCTTCAAGGAGTGATGGGAAGAATTGCTTCTTCTCTAGGAAGGATACTAAGTACCTAAAGTGTGTGCGTGCAAACCATAGGTTGCCCAGACATTGATCAGGTCCTACTTACAGGCACGTTCGGCTGAAGCAAGGTATTGTGGGTAGTTTTCCTCCCGTGGGTGCAAAACACCTTTCAATAATATTTCCAAAGACTGAATGATTGACAGTGGCGCTAGAAAAGTGTTTATGCTCTCGCAAAAACTGCCCTTAACACACAAGTATTCTTCAAGATAGCAGACACATTTGCATAACATCATAATTTGTTATTTAGCCTTACCAGTTTTCTTTGCTGCTCTCTGTCACTTTGAACTCCTGTCACTGCCTCCCTGTCGCGTTTTACGGCCCCCGCCTCATGTCCGACACTGGAGCCGCTAATTTCACATCCAAGAGAGGTGGGTGAATCAAATTCTGAGCACACTTTTTTTAACTCCTCAGTATTACCGCTGTGTGCATCTATAATTCCACTGGCAATACTTTTCACTGGCGAGTTTTCTGAATTGTTAGAGCGTACGGAACTTGAGCTGCTTCTTAGGACATTTGGGGCGTGAGGAGATGGTTTGACCACAGCAATCGGTAACACAATCCCACGTTTTGGTGACTTTTCAGAAACATGAAGTCCCTTTTGTCGTAACGCATGCGCATTTTCCAAGTCACCAGAAACGGAGGTGCATTTACGATCACCAAACATCTGCTCCCTTATGCTCCTTTGCTTTTCATTCAACATTCTTATTATTTCGATATTGCTACGTCGCTGCTCTTTCTCTGTTGCTGGTTGATCGATAATAGGAACTGTCTTGCTCAAAGGCAACGATATGTTCGTGGTTTTATCATGACTGTGAGCTGCGCCAGCAAACTTTGTCTTACATGCAGCGGTATTACTTGAACTCGTTACACAAGGTGCTGTGGTTCTTGAGCTGGCTGTGTGTTTATACGTAACGCCAGTGACATTATTTGCATGATATTTTGTCACACCAGTCACGCTAGTCACCCCTGGTACAGATGTTGACTCACTCCGTGAATCTTGCCTCGTTATGTGCTCTCGCAGGAGAGGCCTTACGCTGTTAAATTGAATGCGGGAACTTTCTGTAGCATTAGATTTTGGACATGACTGAGAAACAACTTTGTCTAGAGATAAGCGATACAATGACGTATCTCTTGGTTTAACAATACTTGAAGAACGCGTCGCTACCATCTGGCCCACGGATTTGACAGGCTTACTGCTAACAGTATTGAAAGAGGTTTCTGTTGGAGATAAGTTTTTCCTTTTTGGTATTTTAAAGTTGGAAATGACGGCAAAATTTTGGCTTCGTACCTGATTAACGCTTGACGAGTTACCATGAAAACTTGGTGGCGTTTGATTCAGTTTATCTTCTGAAATTGAGCTCCGTTTTGGAATTCTGAAACCAGAGAGCATCGGTTTTAAAGAGGGGGAAGTTAGAGGGGGAGAACTTTTTTTTAAAGACGTTGACGACGCAAGAGAGCTATTTTGAATTTCTCCTGCATTTGACAGTTTCCTACATGCACCAGTATAATTTTCCTCTGATGACTTGGAAGAAGAAAGTTTAACAGAAATGGTCTCGATCCTCGAGCCCTGCTTTTCTCCTTGTTTGTCGCCAGATGAATGCTTGGTACTATCCGTAGTTTTTGTCTTTTTGTCCTCGTCATCTAAATTTTTCTCTTCCACTTCTGGTTTCCACCTCTGGTCTCCACATCTGGTCTCCAAATTACTTTCATTTTTTATTTCGTCCATGCTGCGTACTGACTGTGCATCTCTATTCTTGACATGCTTAGTCGAAGACTGGTCAGTGGACTGCACCAATTTCCCGTCACGCGCGACATGCACGTCGGGACTGTGCAAGGAATCCAAGTCTTGAAATATAGATCCCAGGACATCTGGGTCAGTTGGCGCCGAGCTTTGAACCAAACAAACTAAATTAGGACGCTTTATATCATATACAGCGTGTATGACCCTAGTGTAAGGTCTAGCTTGCCGCTGATTCTCCTTGGTTCAGTTTGCCGAGTATGCGATCGCTGAGGGAAACACAATTGATAACACCTGTTTTAATTCTTGCATAGTACCTTACCTCAAAACTTTACCCTGACCCTCAGTGTGAACTGTCTCGGGTACGTCCTCATCTTGATCGTCGAAATCATACAGGGCAAAAGCATTCCCAAATAACGAAAAACTCGAACTAGGTTCGACTCTGTTAGGAAAAGGTGCTCTTCCAAGAGACGCTGAGCGGCCAGGCTCAGCGCCGGAAGGACCCGCTGCACTCAAACTTTCCAACAGTCGGGCATGAACTGTTCTTCCACGCCTAACAGGTTCGTAGATAAAGGGCGATACTTCGTCTTCCTCGCATACTCGACGCCGCTTTCTTCCCTTCAATGTTGTTTTTGTGGATGATTTCTTTCCTTTTCTTGTACTCGATGTGCCCGTCCTCTTTTTACTCTTGTTCCTCTTCTTTTTCCGCTTCCTTTTCCTTCCAGTTGTGGTTGAACTCGATCGAACTCTAGTGCTGTTCCCTCGCCCCAACCCCCGACTGCTACTCCTCGCTCGCCCTCGTCTGCGAGCGGTGCGGGTTCCGCCTCGACCTCGTGTCGAGGCGACTGTTCGAGCTCTTCGGGCTGGAGCTACAATACAAAGACTTTGTAATATTAGGATGGAAGACCTTTTATTAATAACGTTCGACTGGCACATTGGGCTCAATGAAAGCTCATGATTTCTTACGCCAATTACCCCGTTTGTCCCTATGTTTTAGTACGTCTCACTCGAAGAACGTATCCAGTAAGACAATTGGTCTTTAAAAACAAGATTTTGAAAAAAAGGCAGCACATCCTTGAAACATATTAAAAAAATGGATTAATAAAAACGACAGTACTGTTAACATACCACCCTTTGGGGCTCTGATACCTTCACAAAGTTCACCCTCTCCTTCACTTCTCCCTCTCACCCCTTCTCCCCCCATCATCAAATTCGGTATGTTTCACTCATCTCATGGCTTTTGCTTTACATCGGTGCACTCCGGTTCACTTTCCACAAATTCCATAACTCTATTTTTTTTTTAAAAATAAAATGACCCTTTTATGGCTAACCTGTTCGTTCCGAAACAGAAACGCGCCTTGAAGTACTTCCTTGTGGTCTCCCACGTAGCCTTCCACGAGGCACCTCTCTCACACCTCCTTCCCTGTGTCCCTCCTGAGGGAGGTCCTCAGGGTTTTCATAACCCTCTTGTTGATTAAAACACGTCGGGCAGTACCACTCCTCAATAGGAACAAATTCTAAAGGTGGCGTTAAACATTCCATATGATAACTAGAAACAACGTGAATAAAAAAATTAGGGCATTTCATGTGATAGTCATAAAACAAAAAGCCAAAAATAAAAAAAAAACTGCTGCAAACCAGAACAATTGTTGAAATGAGAACCCTGAGACACGTAGAGGTGGAAACCACATAAAGCACAAGGAGTTGCAAGTCACAAAGTTTCGATTGGTTCAATTTTGCATCAGAATTCTTTAAAAGGAGGGCAAGAGTTTTCTAGAGCTTCCACACATGTGTAGATCTTGGACACACAACCAAGGAAATCCGGGATTTATACCTTCCAAACTCAACCCCAAATTATTCCCATATATAGAGCTGCAAAATTGGCACCTAAAGAATATCTGTTTACCAAATCATTTGACTAAACTAAAAGCAGCAGAGACTGAAATGGTAATAAAATGATATCAAAGAGCTGGAGCTGTTATCAACAACAAAGGGGTTTATAAGACTGAACTGGTTGGGAAATAAGCCTCCAATTTTATTGCTGTCATATTGGAAATTTTGGATTATTATAGAAGGTGATGATCACAGTGAGTATAACCTTGGTAACTCTACACAACTCTTAGAAGCCTTTGCGTCAAGACTCACCCATTATCACATCCATCACATAGCAACATTTGTTCTTCTCTGTCATAAAGACTACAAATCTTAAAACAGATGAAAAGTCAAAACTGAGGTAGGATTCTTGTCCAAAGTACCATGCAACTAGTCCAAGCTTAACAAAAACTTTGAATTTTTAATAGTATAATTATTATCATTAATTTTATAGTTCATACTTTGAGTTACATCAAAGTGATAGATACCAAAGTCTTATGTCTTAAGAAAAGGAAAACAGTTACTTCATGTGTATTATTTGTTGGGGATCAGATCATGATTTCACATATTGTCAGCTCTTAACAAGGTGTAAAAACCCAAGAACCATGTCACACATTGTGAAACAAAAGGGCCAAGAATCACAAATAGTGAGATAAAACCCCTGAATGAATAACTATACCTCACAATATGTCGGATCATCCTCCATGTCATCTTCTTCTTCTAGTCTTTCTTCAACTGGAATCTAAATCAAAATATGACATTCAAGTGAAGAAAATGTCACTGTGCACTGATTACCAAACACACTGGGCCTACACTGAAAGAGACTACAGACATAAGCAAATGTCTTCATCTTAGAGTAAGTTTAGGGTCTTAATCACATGAACTTAGATTTTCAACATAGCTGTCTTACTTTCTGTAACACAGGTCCTTTCCTTGAAGCATGCACTAATATTTCAGTGTAAGGTTTCCGTCCAACTGGACAAGTATTGGCATTCTATCCAAAGAAACAAAAATACAGCAAAATCATGTCTCTTGAATACAATGTTAATAAAACAAGTTTCCTCATCACTTTATTAGTCTATAAGTTTGAGGTGAGAGAAGTTTGTGAAACCGAGTTCCAGTTTGCACCAAGCTCCTTTAAGTTTGAAAGTTATCAACCTGTAAGGTTCTGGATGTCCTTCTCACCTTTGACCATTCCTGTATACATTCAAAACAAAACACATGTGAACAGTTGTTAGGTGTTCCCAGTAGCTGCTCTTTAAAAGACATCAAACACACTGGACACTGGTCAGTGTTGCTTGTGGATGTCTCTTCACCAGATTCATCAAAGTTCACATCATCAAGAACAGCATCAAGTTCGTCATTTTCTTCATCTACAGAATACAATTTAAAATTAATCTTAGGATCTTCTTTACTTTTTTTGAAGTCAAACTCTGGTATTGCCACTCTCTCTCCTCTCACCAGAATATATAACAGCAAGCTGCTGAGAAAAGTTGACAAAATCCTGAGCAGTAACTTGCCATTTTGAGCATACTATCAGTTGTGTCATAGATCAATCCTCCCTGCTCCTTCATGTTATGGAATTAATGAATAAATTCCATATCACCATGCATCTGTTCAGAAATACAGGTAGATCACAAAAGACATCAAAATCTGGTAAGAATGAAAAAGTGGCAGACAAGGACGAGCCAACTGAGCCGGTCACTGATGTTCTTACCACATTTTGAATTCTTGCATGATCTATTTCTGAGTTGTAGACCCATGGCAACATGGAATGTATTTGTTTTCTACAATAAAAAAGCAAGAAAGTTGTTGAAATCATCTAATAGATCATAAGAAAGAACCAGTCAAAATTTCTATAAAATTCCACATATTATATAAGAAGGGATACACTTTGGCAGCTATGTAAGCAACCCCTGTTTCACATTGAAACAGACCCTCACATTCTTCTTCCTCTTCTTCACCGTCTCCATCCTCCTCATCATCTTCCTCATTATCATCATCTTCACTTTCAGAGTCACTATCCACCGCATTTAAAGCTCTTCTTCTCCTTGACCACACTCTGTAGCTTGCCTTTTCTTCAGGACTGACAACAAAACCTTCAAAATCTTCATCTTCTCCATCACTACTATCACTGTCTAGAAGAGCTGACATTCTGTGTTTGATAAATGAGAAGATATATTACTTAGTAATGATCTCGTCATAACAAATTTCAGTCCCTTTTTGATATTTCCACAAGGATAAACATTCAGGAAACTATGCATACCTTTAACATTTGAACTGAGCTGGTTTGATCATGGTAATTAGATATGAATTAATTTTAATTGTATGCTTTCACATGCCGTGACAGCTTTGAGGTCTTTAAACTGTGATAAGGCATGAGATCCCAAACTCTAGCAATTTGACCATATGAAGTGCGAATAACTTGGCTAAGTAGTGCATTTTTGTATGATTCAATGTTCATTTCCTGGAAACAGTAAATTATGATCAAGGGTAGTTTCATACATTCTGATTTTGAAGCTATACAAAGATATCTATATCTAAAATCTAAAATCAAACCGATCTGTCTTGAGGCAGGAACAAAAATGCAAGAATTCACCTTAAATACACTTTAAATTTGTCAAATAAGACTGTTTTCTGAGAAAACTTAAATCACTTGACGTAACACTGGTAAATTTTAGAAACACAATTATTTTGCAGCTAAAATATAAAGAATCAAGTGAGTGAAATTTGGATGCAGTTTCGAGGTGTAATGAGGAATCAACCATCGAAAGTGAAAATATTTTAGACATTACATATATTAAGCATGTCCGGCTGCATCGAAGTTACACAATAAGCACGAATCTGTACTGTATGTACATGTGAAACATACCGTTATCAGCTGAGAGATATCTATGCACAAGCAACAAAACGATTTGCAAACATATCCAATTCTTAAAGCCACTTCACTTGCACACAGGCAACTTATTGTAACAAAAGTATTTAAAGCTCATAATTTTAGAATCATCGAACGTGTCTGTATGCAGTTTATGCGGGAAAAAAACGCATTAACGGACTCGAAGCACTAAAATCTCGTTGACTCAAAATGTTATGTAAACATGCAAAGATAAATGACTTATAACTACCTCACCAAGCAGTTTTGTAGAGCTATTTAAGCAGACTCATTACAAAAAACACTTTGCATGGTTGACTTCCGCCATTTTGTGAAGACACGTCCTCGCGTGAAACCGCTGCACACATAAACAGATGGTGCGGATGCAGTAAGTAAAGAGAATGGCTGGCAAAAAAACAAAACAAAACAAAAACCAATAACATTAGACTAAAAAATGAAAAATGAGAAAAAAAAAACGTAAAAATTATTAGACGAAGAAAACTAAAAAATTCAGTGAAATTGTCGACTCCAAGACTAGCTAATTTCCCTGGAAATTCCAAAAGAAAGAAGAAAAAATAACCAACCTCTTCTTTATGTTCTTATTCCTCTTTGAACTTTGTTATCGTCTTGTTCTTAAAGCAGAATAGAAGGTCTGAATCTACTCCAAATGCATCATGGATCTATGATCCAGGAACCAATCATCTCAAGTACCCTCCTTATTTTTCTTAGGCCTCGCTCCCGGTACGAGCGAAAAACGAGCGAAAACGCGGGCACACGAAAAGAGGAAGGGTCAGGCAAAAAAGGAAAAACAAAATTACAAAAACATAAAGGGGCTTTGTTTTTTGATTCGGTGCCCCAAGCAATATTGACTGATTTCTTTGATGCGCTTCATTGTTTCCATCGTTATTTTACCCAACTTATATAAGGATACAATTTCTGAGACCTAGATGAAATCTGAAAGTTAGCCAAGTGCTAACAGTACCAAGTACATTATCCACTCAATTGATAAAACCAAATTTACTGAATGGGTTTGTTCTTTTTTTTAATAACGTGAAGCATTGTCCAGCTACCTCCCATTTGTATTGAAATTGCCATGATTTATTCAATATTAGAACTGCAATACAATTAACTTGATGAAATTGAGATTTGAAAAAAAAATCCACATCTCACAGGCACAACTTTTAACGAACAATCATTAGTTAAGAAGAATAACCTTGGCAAAAACCACCACCAACACAATGTGCTATAATGTAGCCCTAGTGGTTGGATCTAGAGGCAACTATTACACGTTACAAAACAATATGGCTATCATTGAGACAGATCATTAAAAGGAGCTTATTCTTCTGTTTATTTGTATGAATGTAACTGATTCACAAAAGATATAAAAATTGTGTTCATCTTGAAAAACTGAGTCTGAATTAACGAGTATTCCATGTGCAGGTCATGGTAATTTTTTTTCCATCCTTTTCCTTTTTAATATAATATGACTTCTTATCCCCTAAAACCTTAAGAGTGACCAGCATCTTCTCTCTTGTTAGTGTAATACTGCTGAATCACTCTTTAGGATCATAAGAATGAAGGAAATGATTGCCAACCTAGGAAGCTTTGATCGTCAAACAAATTCTCCTTCTCAGTACATAAAAAAGAGCATGGAGAAGATGGATATTGGTGTTAGGGTATAAAAGATCAAAGGGTTTGTCTTCACACAATACAATCATTTTTTAAAATGATTATTTTCAAAGTTTATTCTTTGAGGCTGGGAATCATCCAAAGTAATGTGACATAAGTCCCTTGATATTCTGAATAGCCATCTTAAAAAGCAACTAACTGCTTTGGTGGGGAAAATATTGCACGATATGATGCCTGTTTAAATAGCCAATAAACAAGCTTCTGCAGTAATAAAACAATTGTTTGAGCACCTAGAAAACTAAGAATCACGACGCTTTTTCTTCATCTTCACTACGCACTTCTTCACAAATGATCTGATTCTCTCTGGGTCAATAGCACTGCTAGAGCTTGTTATCTACAATGAAATGGAAAATAACACAATTCAGAGGCTTTTAAAATCAGTTAAGGAGAAACTTTTGTTTTCCACCTCAATGAAACTGCTGTAGAAGTGTATTGCCTTGTTGAAGAAAACAGAATCATACATACAAAGTGTAAGTCAGTTTCCATGCATGCAGTTGCCAAATCTAAGTGACAAATAAATTCCATGTTGCTGTGTGTCTGTTCTGCAACATATCACAGATAACGCCAAAATGAAGTATGAATAAAAAAAAGTGGTCCACAAGGTGCAGCAGAGTGTGTAACTGATGTTCTCATCACATTCTTTGATGACATCTGTGATCTATTAGTGGACAGACCCACCACAAAATGCAATCAATCTGTTTAATATAATAGAGAAGCAAATGTTGTTAATGATGTCATCCATGCACCTGTTCTCAGATAAACCATAATTGCAAACCAATAAAAATGTCTGCATAATTTAGCTTGTAGTCTAAAGGTAAATATATAATTGTCTGTTGCTTAAGAGTGCTTCCATCATGAATGATCTAGGCAAGGTTGAGCATAAACCTATCCATATGGAGTCCAACACATGTACTGTTGCATCACCATTGAGCATTCAAATCATTCAACAGCCACACATTCAAAGTATGATCACTAATGATGACCAATTGTGAATAGTTATTTCTGGAAAGATGTTGACAGGTTACAAGGTAAAATGTCTGCAACAAACCTGTGGAACAGCTCTTCTGAGAATACTCTTATACTGTTCTTTGCTAATATCCTTGTGTTTGTAGTATGCTTTGAGAACATGTTTCACTTCTTCTTCCACTCTGGCCTGGCGATGGAGCCTGTCTATCAGTTCCTACAGGAAAACCCACAGGATAGTTAAATGTAGGCAAAGTCTTACTAACCAAGTGGACTGGGAGCACTGTTTCACTGTTTTCACTCCATGATTACCTCCTAAAATTTGTAAAGTCTTCCTGTCACTATGCTAGTGTTCATTTATAATCCAAGGTAGAGAGGGTGAAGAGCAAATTCAATGGCTCAGAGCTGAGGTCCTAATCATGGCATGGGTATCAAAAGAATTGCCCTTCATGAGGGAAAGTTAGAGATTGAGTTGAAATTCCATAAATTTCTTCACTGTTAAGACTCAAATGGCCAGGGGGTTTCTTAGGGGAGGGAGGGGGAATGTTTAAGTTTTGAATTGATTGCTACATTAGTTGGGTTACTTTCACTGCTCTCCTAGAGAAACCATTTATGCCCTAACATCAGTATGCATATTCTCCATACCATTCTCTATATATTTCTTAAAGTGCTGATGAGGAGAATTTGTTTCACGGTCAAGTTGCTGATCATTTACTAAATTCTTGTTACCTTAATGTTTGATTGAGGAGTGATATTATATGGAGAAATTAGATGCTGAGTCAAAGGGTTAAGACCAGTAAAACAAGTATTAATTTTGGACCTCTAAAACCATCATACCTGTACTTTAGTTTTCTCCTTCTGCTGCTTTTTCTCTAGTTTTTTCCTCTCATTAGGATCAGTTATGCTATCCAAATCCTCTTCAAATTCATCACTGATCAAAACACCAGTTTCAGGCTCATAAGGTTCATCAACTGAATACTGGTCATTCTTAATAGAGTCTACAGACACTAGTTCTATTCCCTCATGATCCATATTCTTTGCATTGTCTTGATTTTGCTGTTCCTGCTGTCTCCAAAATTCTTCATTAAGTTTGTCAATGATATCCCCTTCTGGTGATGACATCTCCATGTCCATAGGACTGGAACTTAAATTTTTCCTTATTTTGTCAATGTTACCATCTTTGGCAGGAATATTTGGAAGTGTCCCAGGTTTAGGTAAAAGACTTTGAGAACCCTTAGGTTTGTTGAGACCAACACCATGCACTATACTATTCAGTTGTACCCAGGGGTGGGCAGGAAATGAAGGAATGGGTAGGAGACCCCTACCTCCTGGAGCTGGGATTATTGGGAGTTGAAGTTCTCTGTTTTCTGAGATGGCACCAGGTGGAGTATCCCCTAAGAAGGGTATAGATTCAAACTTTGAAGGCATAAAGGCTGATTTCCCAGACTCCTCTGCACTCTGATGTACAGTACTATCATCAGTAGTCTTTTGGACACCATCGGTGTTACATGTTTTTACACAATTGCTTTTAACTGGTTTCACTTCACCAATGCTATCCTTTAACTTAGATGCATTTGGAACATTCTTAGCATCTTTAACCTTAGAATTTTCTTGCTTGGATTTTGAACTGGGTTCTTTACATTGCTGACTTTTTTTCTTTTCTGACTCTTCCTTTTCCTTAGTTTGTGGTTCCTCTTTGGTTTCTTTAACTTCCTTGGCAAGGGATGCTCTGCTGTTATTACTTTTGAGGCTTCAAGAAAAGACAAACTCACAGGTTAATAAAAGATGACAGACACTGACCCTGACTAGAGACTGAAAAAAATACAAATGTAAAATTGCCCTTTCCTCACCCAGGTCTACATATTAATTCTCTACACTGCCTGCTAGTAAGTGTACATGTCTTGTTAATTCAGTTCACAGAATTGGGGTTAAAACTACATCCTAAATGAGTGCATTTGACATTTTTCTTTCTTCTTATCACCTTTCTGCATGTAAATGATAATTTGATGCATGTACTTAAAGGAAAAATTCATTTTTGGTCTTTCCTGGAAGTGATAGGATTTATACTGTCTGGACAGTTTCAGTGAGTTGCTTACATTGTACCCAATGTTAATATCTCTAACTTCTAGTATGAGTCAAATGCAACTGCAATTATCAGCCACCACTACTTGTACCATTTACATGTATGTGTACAGTATATATATACTTTCTTGCTTTAGGGATTAGTTTTTCTTGTCATTATGATAACCAGAATTTACCTCTCTTTGGTAGCTTTACTTTTGAGGGAGTCAGGAGTCTTTGGATCTATTATTTCTTTTCCAAAAAGAACATCTTCCACAGTCTTTTCAGTTCCATCTTTAGGTGACAGCCGCTCTGTGAACACAAAATCAAATTCATCCTCCCATACTCTCAATGGACTGTCTGAAGGAGACACTTGCTTCTCTATATCTGCTTCAGATTTTAATACAACACTAGCCTCCATTGCAAGTTCTACTCCTGGCATCTTTTCTACTGATTCTTTTCTGCCAGTAACTTGATCTTCTTGTTTGTTTGGCTGAGTCAATGGAATGTTCATAAAGTGTCCTGAGTCAAGGCTGTCTGATGCTGAAGATGTGCGGTGTGACACCTTTCTTGATGGTGAAGATCTGCTTTTATGTTCCTTTTTATTTGGAGATCTTAATTGTCTAGG